AAAATTAATATTGTAAGAAATTCTTTTACAATTAAGAGGATGCCAGGTCATTTTTCTCCTTCGACCACAAGGAACATAGCAAATTTTAAGTTAACAATAATGATCATCATCATATTAATTTATAAAATTAGAGTGAAATTACCTCATAAAAAATTTGAAGGGAAGATTATTATTTAGGGCACCTTGTAGGCTTTTTATTATATTTTAATTTTAAAGCAAGTTATGAATATTTTATGTTGTACAAACAATTAACAATTTTAAAATACTAATATCTCGTTTTAAAATTAAAATTTAATTAAAAGCCTACATGATTCCCTAAATAATAATCTTACTTTCAAATACTATAAGAGGTCATTTCGCCCTAATTTTAGAAATTTATATGATTATGATCATTATTTTGAACATAAAATTTGTTATATTGCGGGTTGGTCAGGGAGAAAAAAAATAGGCTGACATTCTCTTAAAAGTCCGTAAATAAAAACATTAGTATTATAATAATATATATTTTTAAATTCTGATCTAATGGAACAAAATAGGATATATTGTAATTGACAATTGTTTAGTGAACACATATAGTTCATGACTATTTTTTTTAATTCCTTCAGCTGTATGTCTCCTATTTAGTGCATCAAACATTTCGTTTATTGTTTTAGTAAATGCTACAGTCTCTTCAGATCCCTTAAAACAGTCATATTTCTTATTCCTATATAGTTCAATACCTACTGCCATCGATTTGCTAAATACCTGATGAACATTATTAATAAATGTAATAAATAGTTGTAGGTGTCAACGTTATTTATTACCTACCTGAACTGCATATTTGACCTTCATCTTCGAGAGATTATTTAACTCAAAGTGATGTTTAGTCAGTTTCGGGCATACTTTTACAATATTGTTACTTTCAATTTTAAATAAATTTGTATAATACTCCCATTTAATTAATGGCTTAAATGGATCCAACTATAGGAATTACATAACAAAAATAATAAATTTAATTAGAATACATAATATACATATTATATATAATATGTTAACTAAATAAAAATATGTACTGCAAAAAATATTATTGGTCTTATAGTAAATTATCATATTTTTTTCTAATACTTACCGCAGTTAATGCTTAAGCCGCTGATTGATTAAGAATAGGTTTTTCAGGCAAGTATTTGTTCATGTGAGTGCGCATGTGGAATCTAAAATTAAAGTATTAATAATAACTTTAAAATAATATTATATTATGTACATACCGAACATGACCAAGCTCTTTTTATTGGAAAAGCCGCACTTGCATATTTTAATTTTGTTAGGGCTTCCTTGTTGTTATTGTTGTTGTTGATGGTGTTGTTGTTGCTGCTGTTGCTGCTATTGTGTTTTTAACAATTTTAATGAAGTTTGGACCGGAGTAACTACGACAGCAGTAGTACAGTAGGAGAAACTAATACTGCCAGACCACTAGGTACTTTACGCCAATCTTTTTCTATTTGTTCTTCTGCCTTTAAGTGTCAATTGTCAATATAAATAAAAGTTAAAAGTAATTTTTTTATATAACAACCTAATATCATGTACCTAGCTTGTTTCTAATTAGGTTCTATCCTTACCTCAACACCCTTAACAATATGATCATTACGCAATATTCCATATTTCTTTTGTACATATGAGAACATTGCATTTTTAACAAGTTTCAGATCATTTTCCAACTTGTCCATATGAGTCAAAGTGAGGTACAGTTCTTGCAAATATGCTCAGCAGGAGTTACAATAATCACAACTTCGTCTCCTATAAGCTCAGCAATTTTTTCTGTTATGGTATACTACTATGTGGTGTAATGCTTGTACACACTCGTGTACGTTCACCGTACAACTTTGTATCATAAAGAAAACTGACACCCATCATAATATCTAGAAAAAAATAATGTCATTTTCTAAATTATAAATGATAACTAACTTAACAATAATTAAAAGAATATTAAGAATATTATAAGAAATATAATATACATTAAACATTTTACTTAATAATACTATAATAGTTATTTACCGACAATGTAGCACAGCAAAAACCCTTCGTAAACTAGGTACGTGTAAAAATGACCAAGTAAAAAAAAAATAAGACGTTTAAGCACTATAAAGACGTGATACCATGAATAAATGCTAAGTATATTGAATTTGAGTAAACTTATTTTGTTTCAGTAATTAATTTACTGGGCGAGGAATTATTTCTTAAAACAAACAAAGTGTCATGAACAAAATAATTAAGTCGAACGACTTTTAAAATATAACTTATTATTAATATTTATATACTATTCTAATTAATTCCTTGTCAAGTAAATTAATTATTGAAACAAAAAAAGTTTACATAAATTCAATATACTTAGCATTTATTCACGATATCACGTCTGTCGTCTTTATAGTGCTTAAAGATGTTATTTTTTTTTTTTTTGCTTAGTCATTTTGACACGTAGCTTACGAAGTGTTTTTGTTGTGATATCGCTCGTTTTTATCGTTATTACATAATATTGAATATTTACACAACAATCTATAAGAATGGTAATATTGTTGGTAACATTGGAAACACTGATGCGACCATAGATATCACGAATTAAAATATACTGGATACCCAACGATATATGATAAGACGCTCCTAAACTGACTTTCAATGTGCAAAGGTGCACTAGCGCTCCAACGGAATTAAATGTATACTAATGGATTGACTATTTAAAATTTAAAATATTATATTATTATACATAAAGTATAAATAACAAATAATATGATGATTTTTTCGAATGATTAATTTAAAACATTCAAGCATTTCCTTATTACTGACTACTGTAATCTGCAATGTAATAATTAATAGGTACCATTCTAATTATTCAATATTCTACTATGACAAAATAGATTAATAAAGTGTTAAGTGGAACTAGTGGAAGGTAAGTAGTATTAACTAATAGCATAGAACAATAGGTAGTAAAAGAAAAATACACATTTAATTATTTAATGAATATCAATTACATCTTTTTTATTACATAGTACATATAATTTTACATATTTATTAATATAGATACCCAATACAAATTGCATAAAATACTTACAAAATTATTAATTAGATACCTATACAGTTGAAACTTCAATTAAATTAGTCAACAAATCATGTTTTAACTAATTTGGATAATTTTTTTTTTGTTTTACTTTGTTTTTTTGAGTTTTGATTCATCAAGTAAGAATACTGCCTCATTCTCATAGTTATATAATATGAAAAAATATTTGTTAATATATCAGCTTGATGTTCTAAGCAAGGAAACTTTAAACCAATATTCAAGCTAAAAAATTCATTATATGTATCTTCAAACACATCACAAGAAGTGGCATGTTTTGAAAAACATGTTTCAAGATGTTTTAGTATTAAGTATAAATTTCGATCTGGATGAGTTAGGTATCCTCTAGTTTTATTATTAAGTAAATCAGCTTCACTACCGACAGTTGAAGTATTTAAATTTTTTATACTTACTATACATAACTGGCACTTAGTACTCTAGCACTTAGGCCTATTTGAAGTAGGTAAATAAGGTAAATAATAGTGTTATTTAATTAATGCTATTACCTAATTCATAAAATATTTTACCCAGCCATAAAATAAACAACACAGTCAAAAAATTTTGAGTCTGCGTAATCATGCTCCAACAGAATATCGTCCAGATCCCAGCAATCGTCTTCAATAATCTTATTAATTTTTTCTTTCAGTATATCAATTTTTTTTGCACGTTCTGAAACGTTTTCTGGATCATTTATTATTTCTTTCAAATCTTTAATTGATAATACAGGAATTGTATCTATTAACAGTATAAAATATATAAAAACATTTTTATTCAGCAATATTTATTTTGAGAAATATTAATTATAATATGAAATATATTATTTTTGTTAAAACATTTAATTTTTCACCTTCAAATACTGTGCAATTTCCTGTTTTAGGGGGTTTTATAACAGCATAAACTGAAAGCATGCGGTATAATTGAAGAAAAGTTGGTGTTGTGGGATGGTCATTAGGACCTGACACTTGTCTTATAATTCCAAAAAACTTCTAAAAATTATAAAATATAATAATCATCATTATATTTTTATAGTAAAAAATAAAAAATATATTTCTCGAAAGAGGTGATAAAATAATTTAGGTAATTACTTCTAGTGAGTCTTGATTAAATTTTGCAGTTAAGACATAACTAAAAGCACATTCATTTAAAAGATATTCTACCAATTGTATAGTTGAAGTTAAGGTGATCCTTAGCCCTTCACTAGTTGATCTAGTTAAGAACTCACTTTCTTTAATTAGTCCTTTTTCCAAATTTGATTCCCATTCATTCAACCAGTGTATAGCATTATTTAATATCTAAAACAAAACTCAGACTTTTTGATCTCACTTTACATTTGTGAACACGTACAAATTAAATTATAACATTAAACTAAATAAAATCAACACAATATTAACTATACACTATCAACAAACATGCATCACAAACACACACACAAACATTAAAAACCTCCAAATCATGACTATTTTTTTTTAATTCCTTCGGCTGTATGTCTCCTATTTAGTGCATCAAACATTTCGTTTATTGTTTTAGTAAATGCTACAGTCTCTTCAGATCCCTTAAAACAGTCATATTTCTTATTCCTATATAGTTCAATACCTACTGCCATCGATTTGCTAAATACCTGATGAACATTATTAATAAATGTAATAAATAGTTGTAGGTGTCAACGTTATTTATTACCTACCTGAACTGCATATTTGACCTTCATCTTCGAGAGATTATTTAACTCAAAGTGATGTTTAGTCAGTTTCGGGCATACTTTTACAATATTGTTACTTTCAATTTTAAATAAATTTGTATAATACTCCCATTTAATTAATGGCTTAAATGGATCCAACTATAGGAATTACAAAACAAAAATAATAAATTTAATTAGAATACATAATATACATATTATACTAAAAACTATTGAACAGTTTTAATTTACTCTTAATTCTTTATTTGTGAATAATCGATTTCGAATAGTTTTCATCAAATGAGGTACATCAGAAAACACATAAACTTTTCTTGCTGAATCATAAGGATTTTCAAAAAAGTTACAAAAATTGTTTTTTTTTCCTGATACCTGTTCAAATAAATTAAATCATACTCAATAGTATCCATACAGTATCAATTTTAAAATAAAGTAATTAATAAATCACCCCTAGAATAGACCACATATTACGATTGGTTGCTGCTCCATCGCTTGTCACACCAACTATTTGACCTCCAGTCTTTTCAATTAAAATAATAGCTTTAATAATTAATTTGGCAAGATCAATTCCTGCGTTTTAAAATTAATGTATAATATAAGAGTTTTTATTATTTTCCTATTGTTGTTTGTTATTGTATAATACTATATTACCTTTTACAGGACCGTGTGAGGCAAAAACTGCTATAGGCTGTACAAAATTCTCAGCTAGACTTTGCCACATAAACACAAGTCCGTGATTTGCTTTTTTATCACTGTCTTTTTTGGATTCTATTTCCTCACCAAAATCCTCAAGTCCAGTGTAAGTTAGTTCTCTGGTATTAACACTTAAACCTTCTCGTAAACTAATTTCATCAAAAAGTAGAATACCTTTTTTTTCAAAATTATTCTTGGTTGCAAATCTTTTAGTTAAAAGTTTGAATAAATTTTTATCAAAACCACATCTAATTTCTACTGCCAACAAATGCTTTCTTATAGTATTAATACAAGGAAGTGGTAATATATTCTGCTCTCTCAAAAACTTATATCCACTTGGAGATCTAGAAAAAAATACATTTTCTTCAAAAATACATCATCAAGTATTTTTTAAATTATTTTATTAAATCAAAATTGTAAATTTACCTAATTTGGAACAATAAACACAATAACATCCAGTTCTCGCTGTACCTACGGTTTTTGGAATTTTTAATTTTAGAAGCGTTAAATATTTCATACAATAAGTCAGATTGGTATTTTGGTATATTATTGTTTTGAATTATTTGCTCGAGGCTGTTATTAGTCATTTCGTTCATTTTATTTTTTATTTCGTTTAATGTAGATTCTAAATTTGTAATTTTGCGTTTTGCTCTAAAAAGCCTTTTGGTGACACCTTTTTTAATTCTTTTTAAATTCATAACTTGTTTTTTTTTGTTAGGTGAAAAGAAAACTTTTGAAGATTTTCTATTTAATTTATTTTTAATGTTGTACAGTAACCTTTTACACCATACACACATGCCACTGCAAAGATTAGATTAATCAGTTAAATTTGTATTATATTTTTTCAATTGTATGGACATGTTGTTTTTTTTATAATATAAGAAATGTGACTATATAGTTACTTGGTATTGCTTTTAAGTAGTACTGTACATTTAGAATGATACCACGACTCGTTAAATTCTGTAATCTGTGGTCCAAGTTTAGATTTAATATCTGGAGTATTATTAAAATTATCACAACCATTGCAAATGTTTACATTATGCAGTAATAATAATACATTTTCTAGGTCTTCAATACATTTTATAGAATTTGAAGACGACCAACCAATATCTTCTGTTGTAATTTGTTTATCATTAACATAGACAATCAATCTTAAATCTATATTTAAAATTAATAAAAATAAAATAAATATTAGTATTTGCCATTTAGTTAGTTTAGTAATTACTTACCTTCTGTTAAAACAAGTTGTTTTTCTATACTTCTTAAAAAAGTTTTTCTTAAGCTCCCTAATTTATAAAATCCAACAAATTTTTTATTCGGATTATCGAAATGTTGAACATCAGAAAACCAATATGATGGAACATTTATCATTTTGATCATTTTTACTATATACTTAAATACAGCTGAAGGCTTCAATAGTGATATCTATAGACACGTGTAATATACATAATGTTTATAAGTACTAAAATATAAAAATACAAAATATCTTAACTATTTAACTTTTTTATCATTAACACTTACACTGTTACTGTTTCCTGCTTTGGAACATTCATCATCAATATCAATATTAAATCTATTTACTGTGATATTCTTGGAATAGCAGTGATCATCTTCAACGTTAACATGATTAGTGATCTACAACATTCATCATTAATTATTATTACCTGCACATCATGAATTGTAATAAAAAATTTAATATTTATAAAAACCTTTTGTTTTTTTTTTAATGGTATATAATTTAAGTCAGAAATTGTACTTGAAGGCTTCATTATATCCAGACTTATATCTGGTTCAATACTGTTTTTGACTATTGGCTGAAATTGTAACACTTTTTGGGGGACAGCTCCATTTTTAAGTCTTGGTTGTTTTAGACATATCTTAAGTATTTTATAGTTTTTTTTTTTTATAAAATATTACATATAATTATGACACAATAATTTGAAAACCAATTAAAAATATACCTTATATTTGTTAGATCCCTCGCCCGATATCCATTCTCTTGTTATATCCTGAGGCTTAAAATGATTTTCACAAATCCGGGATTTAGATTTTAATGTAAGACCTAAAGCTTCATTCCAAACTTTCCATAAATCTAAATCTTTAGGTACACCAAAAGTACTTTTTTTTCTTTTAGAATCACAAAATGGAACACAACAACTCATTTTTGTTTTAAAGAAAAAATATTTTGAATTAATGAAAAATGGCCAAAATGGGAAATCTATTACAGTTATAAACAGGAATTAAGATAAACATCTATTTTAATTCTTGGTTCTAAACAATGTCCAATGATAGTAATTAACATGACGAATTGACGAATCTATTTTTTCATGGTAATTTATTTAATTCCAAATATTTACAAATTTGGCGGTAAATTATTTTGTAAAAGTTGCCACAAATATGATAACAAGCGCTAGGTGTAGTTTGCAACAGCTGTTCTGACAAGTCAGTTTGGGTCCAAGAAAAATAGTTGTTCATATAGGTCGTTGGGTATCCAGTATATTTTAATTCGTGATAGATATACACAACAACAGACTAGATAGCCGTCTCCTTCTTGTTATCGAAGTCGGCCGCCATTTACAAAGCAGGCAATGTTTACAAAATAATATTATCATAGTGGTAATCGGAAAAAAAATCCCCCGGAAAAAAAATCCCCGACCCTAGGAAAAGAAATCCCCAGCTACAATATTACTCACAATCACATGCAAATGGTTGAACAAATATATTTTGAACATTAATTAGTATCTATAATTAATATTTAATGACAAATACGTATAGGTATTATATTCTATTATAATATACCTAATATATTATATTATATTGTTAAAAAAATTATAAAAATATTTAGAATGATTGATACGTCAATTAATAATACAGTTAAAAACATAGTATACAAAAATATTATACAAAATATAGGTACCTATATATTTTATGTTGGCAGTGGCGCCGAACTATTTTTTTTTAGGTGTGGCAATGAACAATTACTTATATAGCCACCTCCCCCATTGGATATTGGCTATTAGAACTAAGTCGTGGGGGCAACCTCCGCCCCACCAATTTTTAATCTAAAAAATATTTTCACAAGTTATAATATTTACCGCATTATGTCTACAATATAGCATTATTTAATATTTTAACATATTACTACAGTTAAGATTATCTCCAGTAAAAGCCTCCTCAAAATGAAAATCACGTTTTTATCATCTAAAAACGATATTCACAGTCACTGATTTAGTTATTTAAGCTTTTAGCTAGGTAGGTACATCATATCATTCAGTAATAATTAGAACTATTACATTTTTTTTATTTATACCCATGTAAATATATGTATATTATTTGGTTAATGGTTTGCATAATATTTTTTTAGTATAATGCACTATTTAACATTAACCTATATTAAATAAAAATATTAATAATTGCTTTAGTTTCAATTCCAATGTAATTTTCACCTGATTCTTATATATTCCTATACATGTAATAATATAATATTGGTAAATATAGCTATCTAGATGATATTATAAAGTTATATTTATATTACAATTTACAGCTATTTAAGTAACTCATTTTACTAATAGTAAAATATTGCATTATAAAACGTCTAATTTCGTCCAAGTTTCAACTTAAAATTACTATAAAAAAAACTGTGCTTATATATTTTTTAGATGTTTTGGTAACAGTATTGCCCACTCATGAGAAATCTCCTTTTAAATTTCCGATCTTTAGCTATAAAAACTGAACATTTTATAAATTTTAAACCAAAATTACATATGCAAATGTTCGTGGTGTATTGACTAATTTTGTAAAAATCTGTACTTAAAATGCTTACAAAAAAAAAATAATCATACATAATGTATCTTCATTATTTAAAAATTGCTATTATAAAAACTCATGAGGAACCTTGTATTAATTGTTTAAGCTTTTAGACCCGTCTCTAAATAGGTCAAAAATAGTCGAAATATTTTGAACATTTCATCATGTAGGTACCTTTAGACAGTTGTAATGTTTTATCATAATCATTTGGTGAAAAATTGAAGTATCTATTTATAGTTGATTTTTGAATTACAACAAAATATCAAAACCTCCCCAATGCACCAACGATATTCACTTTCCAATCGAACAAGATACTGAAGTCGAAAATTGAAGCATTATTTCGACTACTTATCGTGTACACAGACACAAAAATAAAAAATATATAAAAACACACATCATTGTACAATCAATACGTCATTCATCGTTCCATCGTTTTCAACAGTTACATTTTTGTTTCATTGTATTTATTCCGTACCTAGGTACATATTAATATTAAGTTTTGATTGTAACAAATATTAAAAATGAAAATGTATAATATTGATAGCCGATAGGTATGTAAGTATGTTGTAAATTAAATATTGTTCTTTTACATAAAGCGTCCTATATTAAAAGTAAGTGTAGTAAGGAGAAAATACGCGGGGGACAAATTAGTTGTAAGGGGGAGAATATGCTGTAGGGGAAGGTAATGGTTATAGGGGAGAGATATGTGTGTTATAATAAATATTGGAGATTTCCGCATATGATCTCCCTACTACTGTGTTGTACCTAAGGGAGTGCGTAAAATGTTGGAAAATATTTTGTCGGAACTGTATTTTGTCTGAAAAATATTTCATTGGAACCGTATTTAGTTGGAACTGTATTTTGTTGGAACAGTATTTTGTCGGAAAAATATTTAATCGGAAATTTTTTTTACGGAATAATATTTTATTGGATCAGTATTGTCTCGGAATTTTTTTTAACGGAATCGTATTTCATCGGAACTGTATTTGGTCGGAACCGTATTTTGTCGGAAAAATAATTCGTGGGAAAATATTTAATTGGAATCATAATTTGCCTGAATTTTTTTTTCGGAATCGTATTTTGTCGGAACCTTTTTTTGTCGGAAAAATAATTCTTCGGAAAATATTGAGTCAGAACCGTATTTTGTCGGAACCGTATTTGGTCGGAAAAATATTTTTTTTGGAATCATATTTTATCGGAAATACATTTTGTATTTACTGCTTTATTTTACAAATTTTTTTTTGTTATCATATGAAATTAAATAAAAAGTCAAGTTCTATTCGACTGTTAGAAAATCTTCTTGCAGATACCCTAACCCCGATTTAGTAAATTATAATAGAAGTTATTTTAAAACAGTGTACCTAAATTTGAGTTTTGACCCTGTATAATCAACTAAAGTTAAAAGCTTTGTGTCTATGACAATTTAATATAAACATATGGTAGAATATTTGATTTAAAATGAACTCCGCAAAGAGAAAAGGAGGATAGCTGCCCGTGAAAAATAAAAAATAAAAAACATTTATTGTAAGTCGGTAAAAAATGGGCAAAAATAAATACATTTTATATGTATTTATTTCATTATTGTAGTATATAACGGTACTATAGTATATGCACTATGCACTCTAAACATTTAAACTAATCTTAAAGA